GAGTCCAACAGTCGCGTACCATTTGAAATGACACCTGTAGTTTGTCCTTTTTCCATTTACGCTCAACTCTACGGCACTCGCGTTTAACAGCACGCATCTCATCGTTTAGCCAGGGATCAGACCTAATTTTTTGGTGCCTGATTTTTAAGGGAGCCACGGTGTCCAGAACTGTTTGGCAAGCAGAGTGAAACCATGAGCTAATATCCTCAGTACTGTTACACGTAACATCAGGAACAGGACAGTTCTCAGTAAAAACGGCAGAAAACTGAGCAGCAGTTGCATAATTGATATTACGACAGCGCCGAACAACAGCGCGAGGTTTAACTGAAGTGTATGCAAGATCAACCTCAAACAGTATAGGCATGTGATCAGAAAATACTGCCTCACAGATCTCCAAGTTAAGAACAGATAAACCGTATGATAAAACAAGATCGAGCGTGTGCCCTCGTTCATGAGTAGGACCAGATACCCACTGTACCAAATTAAAAGAGTTAATGAGGTTTAAAAAGTCCTTTGCCATTGGCTTATCAGGGCAGCATACATGAATATTAAAATCCCCTACAATAAGAACGTGGTCGTATTTAGGCATAATCTCAGCCATAAAATCAGAAAAATCATTTAAAAAGTCCTGGTTATATTTAGGAGGCCGATAAATGATTGCACACAGCATTGTATGATGACTTCCCACCTCGAACACGCTGTGTTCAAAGCTGCTAAAAGAGGCTGACAGCGACATCCATCCATCCATCCATCCATTGTCCAACCCACTTATCCTACTGGGTCGCCGGAGCCTATCCCAGAAGCAATGGGCACGAGGCAGGGAACAACCCTGGATGGGGGGCCAGCCCATTGCAGGGCACACTCACACGCCATTCACTCACACATGCACACCTAAGGGCAATTTAGCAACTCCAATTAGCCTCAACATGTCTTTGGACTGTGGGGGGAAACCGGAGTACCCAGAGGAAACCCCACGACGACATGGGGAGAACATGCAAACTCCACCCACGTGACCCAAGTGGAGACGCGAACCCAGGTCCCAGAGGTGTGAGGCAACAGTGCTAACCACTGCACCACCATGCCGCCCCTACACACAAAATAAGTATGAAAATGCAGGGAGACTCACCTAATTTAATTGTGTTGTTCATCCAGGCAAGGATTTGGGAATAAATAGCAAGGAACAGCATGGTAAACAGGCTGGGATCATCTGTAAGGCAAACAGAACAAATCATACATCCTCATTCTCTCATCAGTCTGTACAGATATAACATGATATTAAATAACAAAGTGTCCTTGGGTTTTTCTTCCCCTGAGATAAATCCTGCCGTCCCCAGGGCCCAACTGCACTCTGATGTCATGCACATTAAGGCCCATGATCCGAGGGCAGTGGAGGTCAAAACACAGGCCAAGGAGTCTAATGCCCCTGTAAGTCAGAGGGTCCCTCAAAACCCTGTGTCATGATGAAGGTGGGAGCCGGCATGTGTCGGCTGGGGGGAATTCTGGGCTGTCTGCGTGGTGGCCAGGTGCCCCCCCCAGCCCGTACACCCTACATGTCACCCTACATCAGGTCCACACAATAACATCCTACTGGGTAAAATGTCAGGTGCCCAGGGTATAAGTGTAATCTGTCAAACACTAGAACGTGCAAACTCCACACAAAGAGCAGAGGTGAGACTCGAACCCCCAGCCCTGGAGTTAAGAAGCAGCAGTGCTGCCCACTGGGCCTGTGTGCCACAGAAAAAGAAAGAGCTCTAAACATCATTTTGGTCAGAATTCTTAATATGCCGATGGACATACACTCACCTAAAGGATTATTAGGAACACCATACTAATACGGTGTTTGACCCCCTTTCGCCTTCAGAACTGCCTTAATTCTACGT